TCCCTCCCTCCCTCTCTTCTCTCTCTCTATCTCGCTAACCCTCATCGGTCTTCGCTCTGCTTACCCGTTCTATCTGATATCTCGACCGAGGCTTACTTACCATCCGGACGACTTCCGAACTACCCCAAGTCTCTGGCTACTAATGCACTCCCACACACTTACTTACCTTGTCCTACCTCTTCTCATGTCGTGAGTATCAGCAATTTATCAGCTCAAAAATCGCTACTACTCGTACATAGTATACGTTCTGCAACTTCCCATATCAATATCATACACCCTCCCCAACCCCTTCCCTCTTCGGGCCTTTGTCCCCTCCCACACACACGCACACACCTACATACATACACATACACATACACATACACATTTTGAGTCGTGGCGGTCCATCGCTTGAACCGCGCAGTGTGAAGCCTGGCGAAAAATCATGTCGTCATTCGAGTAAGGGTAGTTGTTAGTAGCATAATCCCATCTGTAAAGAGCATGCCGTAACTAGCAGTAAACACGCAAACACCACTACACCACGAGGATCCTCTCCGCGGGGATCTCCCAATACCAGCTCGCCACAGCCATGGCCCCGACGCTCGACATGACAGCCATGAGGAAGTTGACATCGTTGTTGTCCAGCAGATCCCACCCGCTCTCCGCGACGCGAGACGGCTTCTCATCCCCAAAATGACTGGTAGACTTGTCTTCCTCCTCGTCGTCATCCTCCACCGTCGCAGGTCGGGGCCTCATGGCGGCACGCGTCGTCGTCTTCTTCTCGACCCTCCCGTCATCGCCGTGGCTGCTGCTGCTACCCGTCACGGCGGTTGCCGTCCCATCCTCCGAGATGAGGACGCGCTGACCGCCCTCGCCCTCGACAATCTTTCCGGAGCGGGTATCCTTGACCGACCTCTGGAACAGCCCTCCGAGGATGCTGTCGATGACGGTGCCCGCGAACCCGGCCAGCACCAGCCCGCCCATCAGGGTCCGCCGCTGGTCCAGGGACCATGGCACCTCCCCGCCGGGGAACCCAATCTGCTCCGCGCCGCACAGGGGCAGGAGGACCATGGCGGTCGTGACGATGATGATGGAGCCCAGGAGCCCGGCCCCGAGCCCCGTCAGCGTGACACCACCGTTGGTCCCGCGCGGCACCCTGCGCAGCGTCAGCGACGTGATCAGCCGCGGCTGCCCCGTCGCCAGTATCCCCAGCTCCGAGCTGAACGTGTCGGCCGCCACGGCCGCGTAGTTGGCGATGATGCCGACAACCAGCACATCCCCTCCCCACTGGAAGCACGTCGTGCCTAGCGGGTCGGACTCGTTCGGGTCCGCCAGCCGCGCCTGTCGAGCGTACAGCTGGTTGGCGTGTAGAATCGTCAGGATCGAAGAGACGAGCGAGTTGGCCAAGACTGATCCTACTGTCAGTAAAAGGAAGGGAGGAAGCAGAGGCAGGAGGGCGAAGAAGCGCAAGGCACCCATCACGAGCAGTGATCGACGGCGGAGAGGAAGGGAGAGGGGAGGGGAGAAGAAAGGAGAAACCCACCCTGTACGTGATTCCGAGGCCCCTCTCCCCCAGAACTCCCCTTGGACGTCATGGTCAGCTTAGCCTTGATGCCTTCCTTGACGTGCGTCACCCGCGTGCCGGCAAGGAAGAAGACGCAGAGCAGGGTAAACGGCAGGTTCCAGGGGTGGTAAGCGTGCGCGAGGGCCGTCAGCGCCGCCGTCACCAGCCCAGGACCTGTCAGGGATCTCTTTTTCCATGCCCTGAAGACGAGGACGCTCGTCGCCGGTATGGCGATGATGGGTTTCATGGTCGCTGAGGTGATCCGTCCTATGTTTCTTCCTTCTTTCTGTTGATTTTCCGTCCTATGTGTCTTGGATCTCGTTGAATTTCTTCTTTTTTTTCTTGCAATCTTCGAATGGGTTGAGAGAGAGGCGCCTGGAACAGAAAATGAGGGAGTCTTTTCCTTTTTTTATATATCTGGTCTCTCAGGAGACGTCTGGGTTGATATTCGATGCGACAAGAGCACGTTGCTAGAAAAACTGGGGAAGCACTGACGAAGCTCCAAGAGCTTTTTACCACAAGAGATACCGTCAGTGCCCCGCCTACCTGTACGCTGATGTCAGCACCCGACGTCTTCTTTTCGAGCCAGTTTTGCTCGTATCATCTACCCTACATTGAGGTTTGAGAAGCATCCAACGGGTCGCTATTCATATGGTATCAATTCATCAAGGCCGATGCTGATGGGCAGATGGATATGAAATGCCAATTGTTTTCGTTCAAGTATAACGCACTCAAAACATGGATATTATAAAACTACTAATTGCAGATTAATGTTGGAGAAAAAAATACTTTGAAAAAAAAAAGAGAGGCATTCTTCTCGCCCTCAATGTGATCAACCCTCACCAACGCCGTCTTCCACAGTAATCCGTAATAGTTGATTCGTCGGTGAAATCAATAAACTTGCCTGTAGGCGAAACCCCCCCCCCCCCAAAAAAAAAAATATGAAACAAGAGAAGGAAATGGAGAAACATGAGGAGCACAGAGGTATAAAGCAGGTAAAGAAGAAAAAGGAAAAAGAAAAAAAAAAAAAACAGAAATCTGTCAGCAGCATCCGTTATTGAGCCTTGCCTGAGATCAGGGTATCGAGTTCCCACGGACTCAGCGTACTCCGCCTCCTAGACGATTTGCCGCCTCCCGTCTTCCTGTCCCTCTTGCGCTTCTCCGGCTTGCTGCTCTCGACGTTTTCCTGCTCAACATCCGCGTCGTGCTTTACGGGATCCACGTCCTGGCCGCCATCGTCGTGACCGGCATCATCGTGGTCCCCCACTCCCCGATCTTCTTCTTCCGGACGATGATGACGAACGTGACGCTCCGTGCGTTTCGGCGACCGAGCCTTCTCCGTCGGGGCAATAGTCGGTCTCTGCGCGCCACGGAAGGCCTTGAGCTTGGCTCGGACGCGTGCCGCGTCGGCCTCGCGCTCCGAGGCTGCCAGCTTGGAGGCTATGGCTGACATGGTGAGCGGACTCTGCTGTCGCATCCGAATAGTGTCGGTCTTGCCGTCGTCTTCACTGGCGTTGCGGGATACGGGAAGCTTCGACGTGCTTGTCCGCGGTGTCTTTTGCGGCGGAGCTGTCGTGGCCATCTCGTCCTCGTCTTCGTCCTCGTCCTCGACCTCGTCCTCGACCTCACCTAGACCGGCATTGTAATCCGCTGGCTCATCTTCCTTCTCTTCTCGATCCTCCTCTTGGTCCATATCCTCTGACCGAGAAAGGAGGGCCTCGTCTAGGGAAGATCTTGATGGCGAACGAGGCATCTCGCCTTGGTTATTGAGATAACTTCTTGTTGCCGCGTGATCGGATACGCGAGCAGCTCGTAAATTGGTTTTCTGCACAGGTTCCCTCGTATTTTTCTCGGATGTCGTCGTTGCTGCGGTGAACTCGCGAGGACGCCTCCTCAGGGTCTTGGCCCGATCCGACCCGCGGTTCCCGGCAGATGGCAGATCGCGTAGCGGGCTGATCTGTGGCGGCTCGGGCAGTGGCGACGAGCTGCGGGGCGAGTCTGGCTCGGGGTTGGGTGCAGCCGCCTGCTCCGGTTCCGGACGTTGGATGCGGTCTCCGGGGTCGGTTTGCCCGAACCTCACCGGTCCGCGCCGACCAAGAAGATCCAGTGGCCTCCTGTCGCCGTTGGCTTCGTCGTCGTGCGACACATGGCTGGCTGGCTCCTCGGCTGATGGGCAGGGTGACGGCTGGACATCCTCCATCTCATCCTCCTCCTCGGCCACATCGGAGAGTTCAAGGTTGTGGGCGCCGTCCACGCCACCAGCACTCCTTAATCGCACGGGACTCAGACGCAGGCCCATCTGTAGCTCCTCGTCGCACACGGGTTTCCCGTCGGCAGCCATCCTCTTGCGCCAGCCGTCAATGAGGTGGACGGCCTCGCGCCACCTGTTTTCCATCTTGATCCACCCTTCCTTGAGGCGGTTGATTTCCTCCTCGCGCATCTCCACCTCTTCGATGGGTACGAACGACGGGTTCGTCAGGATGTTCTTCATATGGTCAAGCACCGTGTCCAGCTCCACGGCCATCTCCTGCCAGCTGGGCTGCTTGACTACCGAGTCGCCCTCGCCCGCTTCGCGCTCCCACCCGCTCATCTGCCGTAGCTCGTCTATCGTGTGGTGCATCGCTACCAGGATGGCCTCATTCTCCTGGCTCAGGTCCTGCACCAGCTTGGCCAGGAAGGCGTTGGTCTCGCTCCGCAGGCTATAGTCGTCACCCGATAGGCTTCCATGGGCTGTGGGCGGGCCCCCCTTTTCACTGCCGCCGAAGTCGCCAGTAACGCTGATGGTCGTAATGGCCGGGTTCGTCCTCGCCCCGCGCGCCCGGCCGGCCTCGCCCAGCTGCTTCTTGAGGGTGTCAATCTGCCGGTCGCGACGGCGTACGTCGTTGGCACACGTCGCCCTGGCCTGGGCCACGAGCGTCTTTGTCCGCGCCACCTCCTCCTTGAGCCTGCGGGCCGCAGAGTCGGCCGACTTGAGCTGCAGCTTTAGGGAAGCCTCCGACGCGTCGGCCAGGCCAACCTTCCTCTGTGCCTCCTCGTTCTTCTCGGTGAGCTGGTTCACATCTTTTGTGAGTCTGAGGTTGTCGGCGCGCAGGGAACGCATCGTTGTTGATAGAGTCTCACGGTGTTCGGCGTCGCGCTATTTGGCAAGGGGGGGAGACAGTGTCAGTTCGAAAGTTCATGGTCACGCACGCCCTCTACCCCTCAGCATCCTGGCTGGTACTCACATCACGTCGTAATATTAAATCGTTGACGACACTCATTATGCGGCCCATCGTGGCGGCACCGTCGCTCCCAGGCCGGCATGGGTCTGTAAAATCGATGCTCTGCCCATCCTTGAGGAGTCCTCTTGACAGCAGCTGGTTGTTGATGTACAACGACGCTGTGCGCAGGTTTTCCGTGTCGAGCATTGTGACGGAGGGCGAGGGATCAGTCGACGGTCGAGACTGTATGGATTGATAGCCTAGTTTGTCGACGTGACCATGATAGGCGCTATCACAGCTGGCTTCTCTCTCTGCTTGTCGAGGTCCGTTTGGGCGGTCGGGTCGCGGCAACTATCGCAACTGTCGTTCGTGCTGTTTATCTGTTGCTACAGTTATGCGCGGGGGGGAAGTAAACAAAAGCCATTGCACTGATTGCAGGCTCCATTCGACATGTACTCCGTACTCTCTTGTATATCATGACTAATCCAGTCCAGCTGCCATCTCTCATCACCCAGTATTATTTTACTCCGTACACCTTAGCTGGTTATTGCGTGGCAACTGCAATTTCATACAATCACCAAACAGCATCACCACATAGCAGTCATAACAACCGGGCAACGCGGACCTGACCGTCGGGACTGAGAAGACGGTGACTGGGACAGAGTGGTGCTTCTCGTTGGATGTGGGCGTAGTTCATCGTGCCATGCACACATCATAGCTAGCTTCTCGAAGGAGCTTCTCGTCCTCAGGGTGAACATGCAGGCTCTCTAGACGGGTACTCGCAACCCAAATCCTCCACTAAATAGATTTCAGACTCTCTAATTCACACGAGACCTTGGAATGGGGGGGCGTGTTGCGGTCAGGGAGCGACGCCAGTGACGCCGACCGTTATCAGGGCCGGTGAGGGTTTGGAAAGTTGAATGGGCATATATATATTTATGTATTTTTTCGTATATATATATATAACATATATAACATGTATATATTATTATCACATGCCTCGTAGTGTTGTTGTTGTTGTTATTGCTGGTTATACATGCATTACGTAGTCCCCAATCAAGTAATGCTAGTAGTTTCTGCCCCCGGTCTCGACAGGTACACCGCGCCCAGCCTTGGCCAGTTCGTCGAGCCTGTTGTGGATGGGCTCGTCACCGATCTCAGCCATCTTGTCCTCGAGCATCTTGGTCATCGTCTCGACCACGTCTGCGTACTTGGGATCGGCGTAGCAGTTGAAGAGCTCGAGCGGGTCCTCCTGGCAGTCAAACAGCTCCCACTCCTTCTCCTCGCCGCCGGGCCGGGCACCCTCCAGGCCCAGGTCCTCCGCGTACCAGTAGATGAGCTTGTAGCGCTGGTCACGGACGCCGTAGTGCGCGTAGGCCTCGTGGATGACGTCGCGGTGCATCCAGTACCGGTGGTAGGCGACCTGCTGCCAGTCAGCCGGCGTCTCGCCCCCGAGCAGGGGCCGGAAGGAGACGCCTTGCATGTAGGTCGGCACACGCACGCCTGCGAGTTCCAGGAATGTGGGTGCGAAGTCGACGTTGCAGATGATGTCGTCGCACACCGACTTGGGCCGGATCAGCTTCGGGTACCGGATCACAAACGGCATCTGGAAGCTCTCCTCGTACATGAAGCGCTTGTCGAACCAGCCGTGCTCGCCGAGGAAGAACCCCTGGTCGGACGTGTACGCGACCACGGTGCTGTCCGCCAGGCCCTCGACGTCGAGCCGGTCGAGCATGCGGCCGACGTTGTCGTCGATGCTCTGGATCGTCCGCAGGTACCGCTGCATGTACCGCTGAAACTTCCACTCGGCCAGCTCCTGCTTCGTCTCGAAGGTGAAGGCCTCGCCCGTGTCCTTGCAGATGAACCTGAGCCCCGTCACATCGTCGGGGTTGGGCACCTTGCGATCGTTGGACCGCCACGTGTCAATCATCTTGGGGCCGATCTTGCCCCCGGGGCCCTCGGGCTGCACGATGCCCAGGTCGCCGTACGTCATGTCATCGGCCACGCGCATCTTGGCAACCTTGGCCGCGTTGGCGCGGTTCTTGTAGTCGTCGGTGAAGGTGTCGGGGAGCCGGATCGGGTCCCTGTACAGGTCCTTGTGCTTGTAGTCGCACTCCCACGACCTGTGGGGGGCCTTGTGGTGGCACATCAGGAAAAAGGGCCGCGACCTGTCCCGCTTGCCGATCCAGTCGATGCACTTGTCTGTGATGATGTCGGTTGCGTACCCGGGGGTCCTCGTCATGCCGGACGGCTCGATGAATTGGGGGTCCCAGTACTCGCCCTGTCCCGGAACGACGCTCCAGTAGTCAAAACCCGTCGGCTCGTGGGCTTCGCCCTCACCGAGGTGCCACTTACCCACCATGGCTGTCTGGTAACGGGCGGGGCTGGCCCGCAGCTGCTTGGCAACGTTGGGCAGGCGCTTGTTGATCTTGGAGTCGAGTGTCATGACGCCATTGACGTGGTTGTGTGTGCCCGTGAGGATGGCGGCACGCGACGGCGTGCAGATGCTGTTTGTGACATAGCAGTGGTTGAAGAGCATACCCTCGTTGGCGATACGGTCCAGGTTCGGAGTGTGGTTGATGCCGGCGCCGTAGCACGAGATGGACTTGGCAGCATGGTCATCAGCCATGATAAAGATGATGTTGGGCGGCATCTGGGACACCATCTCGGCCCGGCTCCGTCTTCTCTTCAGAGGGAAGGAATGAAGAAGAGGGACCTGTGAGTGAGGCTCCTGGTGGGACTCCGCGGGGTTGCTTATGAGGGGGAGGCAGGGTGAATTGGAGAATTGATGTAGAGGTCCTGTAAAGACGAGGTGCGGTCCGAGAAAGTCGAGAGAGCAACGTAGAATATACAGAAGTTCAAATCGCCAAAGGAGAGGGAATGGGAATCATAGGATTGGTTATTGAATCCCAGTGAGATAGATCCGGGCTTTTTAAAAATAAAAATAAAAATAAAAAAGAGAGTCCGAAGCCGGGCGGCGTCGTCGTCTCCAAAAGTCAATGAGGGGCCGGTAGTCGGTGATCCTTAGATATGTCGTCGATCGGTTGCATCTCCATTGGCCCATGCAACTAACGCCGACCAGAACAAGCCTCCGCCCAAGAGCATCCGTGGGGCTCAGACGACATAGAGGTGCAGGCCAACTCTCGGGGACCTTCAAAACAATCAAAGAGCTGCCCCTCCATCTCGGCGGACAGACACTCGGGGGATCCACATTGGCCTGCAGTCTGGTAAGGCGTCATCAGAAGAAGTCGCTATCAGAGGCAGCCGAGAAATCATTGGACAGGTAGTATGCGTCGATCCAGCCGTTGACAGCCTCGAAACCAAGAGGATCCACGTTGGGGTGAAAATGGGGGGTACTGGGGTTATACTGCTGCTGCCAAGAAGAGGAGAGCTTCGCGTAACGTCCATGGTGGTCCCCATGGTGGTCCCCATGAGGAGCCACGCCAGCAATTGCGCAAGTGACGGGGGATGTAGAACGCTGCCGTTCCGGTGCTGGCTGGGGCGTCGAGACGGGAAGCTCAGTCGAGCGTCGGCCTGGGCTGCCAGCAGCAGCATCGTAGCTATCATCGACGAAGCGCGTCTGTCTGAGGATGCTGTGTATTCCCAGTCGCTGGTGCTGTTTGGCAGCAAGGGCGAACCTGGGCGGGCGGGGACGTTTTCCCACTGCGGTTCTGTCCGTCTTCGTTGCCATCATCTTCATCCTCAACATCAGAATAGTCCCCGCTTGGCTCAGTTTCGCCCGAACCGTGGTGTTGGACGATAGAGTCGAGGTTCTTGCAAAAGTTTCTCCGCCATGGTTACGCTAGGGAAGCGCCTTTCTATGAGGTTTCTCGCTCGCAGCGCCATGACCGACGCCGCTTCAGGGGTCACGCCAGACTCGAACGGTCCGGAGGTGGAGGTGGAGCGGCGGCTCAGGAACATGACGAGACGTGCGGCATGGTAGAGGCACAGCCAGGCAGCTTCCTCCATGTATGCCGACGAAAACCCCGATGTGACGACGCGGGGGGCAGCCTCGGGGGAGCCTGGCAGAAGATGCCGACAGATGTCTAGCCAGCACCGTCTCCAGGACGGCTGAGCACAGACGTACCTGACAAACCACCGTTGACTCGGCATACCTCTTGAGCTCCCGGGCGCTGTGCTGTGGCAGGTGCATATTTGGCAGGGTGCGGTTGAACTCGGCAACAATGGTACCAAGCTGAGGCAAAAGCTGGGTTGCGATGCTGAGCTGGCGCTTCAGGCCGCACCGCGTCGCGCCGGATAACCTGCTCGCGGATCTGGATAGATGTCAGGCCACCTTCGGACACAGCATCGAGCGGTACAGTGGTGCTGGGGCCGGCGGGGGAGTCGTAGTCTGCATTGAATTCCTCTTCATGGCAGGGGAGCCGCAGGTATATGGCCTCGAATGGGCACATTTCGCACACGGGCAGTCCCACGGAGGAGAGACCGTCAGCATCGGCCAGGCACCGCATGAGCCTCCGGCGGACCTCTTGAGCCATGGAGCTCAGGTCGGTGCGCTCATATTGCAGACGCAGAGCGCTGGAAGCCGCCGGTGTCGACGCGGCAGCGCACGATCAGGAGCAGTGCCTGGGTGTGGAGGAAGCTAGGTCGATCCATGGACTCCCACACAATCTCCTAGGCCTGTCGAACCTACGACGAGGTGAAGACGGGGTAGTACTTTGCGTAGCGCAGCTTGAGAGCGGAGACGACGCATCGACTAAAGAGGAGGGTCCCGCCAAGGGTCTGGTCGAGGCATCTCTTGGTGACGGACACCTCGCTGAGGAACGAGTAGCCCGAGAGGGGGTAGAGGTGACGGGAGAATTCTATGACGAGCTGGAGCTGCCCACGCACGGGGGGGTAGGGGAAGCCTGTGGGTAGGAGCAGCCGGTGTCGTGTCACTTTGCAGGCTCGCGGGGCTCTTCCACGATCGGCTCTGTGAAGATGCGGCGTTCCCGGAGAGCGTCCTGTCGGCTGTAGCGGGGATCGGGAGCGATGCGTTCAAGGGATCGCCCTGATCTGACGAGCTCGCGACAGCGGGAGGCTTTCGGCCTGGTGACGCATGTGACAGTAGTCTGCTGGGCCGCCTAGCAGACAGTCCACGGCTCCTGACAAGCTCTGGGTAAGCACAGTCCTGGCCAGGCCTCTGGCAGCTACCACACGCGGGAAGCTCAGCGGAGCACTCGCTCTTGTCTTGTGCGTACGGCAGTCGATGCGTGCACGCGGGCCTCGCCTGCGCTCTGGCGGCCTGCTGCTCTCGGCTCCCCGAACGAGCTCGACAGGTGAGCAGGTGAAGTCTAGTCGACGACAGTCGACGCATGCTTCTTGACCTGCGCTGCCGGTGCATCTGACCTGCGAGTGGCTCAATGGCCAGCTGGATAGTTCTCATGGTGTAATGGCGTACAGCTTCGACTCAACCGTACCTCGCGAGAGCGGCATTCATTGCAGATGGAAAAGATACGCCCCACCATCCCACCCGGCTCTTTGCGGACGCAACCCCTCTCCAACCTCATGGCGGTGATATCTGAGCGAAGCCGCCCCGACGAGGAATCCCGTGATAACCTCATGCTCAACCGGATGTACACGAGATGCACACATATCTTCACCCATTCACCCCACCAAGCAAACAGTCAAGTATCAGCCGGGGGAGGACGTGATCCCTAGCATCTACCATGCGTTCAGGTCCTCTTCCCCCTTCACTGTTGGCCGGTTCCTCATTTCTCATTGCCTCCTCTCGAAGGACGGTCGGGGATCCATAGTGTCTTGGGGGAGATGAGTCGACGAGGGGAGAAGTGAGCAGGTGGTGAAGAGCAGAGGAGGGCTGAGGGGCAGGGGGCGGTATGTCGAGAAAAGCGTGTCCTCGTGCTAAAGACTTCGGTGTCTGGCATCACCGGGAGGCAACTACTATTCGTTTGTGTTTGCCTATCATGAGCCTCGTGCGTTCCTTTACACCTCCTGAGTGTGACTAGGTCCAGGCGTCACGTCGGAGGGCGGCTGCAGCAGACTGCACATATCCCAAGACTGTGTCAACAACAAAACATCCGTGACCGTTCATCAGACATGGCATTCTTCACCCTGCTAACCCTGCTACCTAGTAGTCCGTACATATATATGTACATTTCTGCTGACAGACCGTAGATGCGCTGGTTCCTACGTAAAGCGCTTGTCATAGTGCATGCCATCCTCTTCATGCACGGATCATTGGACCGGTATATGTGCAGTGCTAGTAACATCACCTCCGCGGTTGACAGTCCACGGAGCAGCAGCACGACCAAGGGTGTCGTTCATGACACGTCTCATCTACTTCGCACAAGCGAGGCAAACACGACGGAGCAGCGGCCTGGTTGTCAGACGTCTGACCCAATCCAAGCCGGGTCCTTCTACCTGAAAACCTCCCCCCCCCCCCGGCCAGGGGCGGCATCGGCTGAGCGATCGAATAGAGAGGCCCCGGGACGTAGACCGGGTGCTGCTGCTGCACGGCAAGGTTAGTCGACGCACGCCACAGGAGTTCCAGGCAAGAAGAGTGAAGGTAAGATTGATATCTCAGCAGATTTTGAGAAGATTTCTTTGTTGACGCGGTTGCTTTCGGCATCAGCCGGCAGTGATGGGGCTTCGCAATGTAGAAAAGACGACATTGGCCCGCCCCTGCCGGCCGTTTGATGGCCCCGCGGCGTCATCATGATATCAGAGTGACATGGTGATTGAAAATTCACAGAAAGAAAGAAGGGAAGAGGGGAAGTAAGGCCACTCACAGAAGAGGCTGTCTCTGAGTCAACGGCGTAGCAACGGGCGTAATCAAGTCTCCGGTCTGAACTTGCCACGCTTCTCGCGCATGGCATCGACCTTCTTCCGGTCCTCCTCGAAGCGCTTGATGAGGGAGGCTTGCTCGTCCTTCCGCCTCTGGCGCAGCTGGAAGCGGTAGAAGTCCTGCATGCCGTCCTTCTTCCTGGCGTCCTTCTCGATCATCTTCCTCCTGGCATCCTCGGCCTCGTCGCGGCTGGCAGGGGCCACGCGGCTGCTTCCGCGCGTCACCGTCACGAAGCCGTCCTCGTCCGGCTCGTTGCGCAGCCTCTTGGCCAGCTCGGCCGCCTCCTTCTCCTTGCGGTTGAAGGTGTTGAAGAAGGCGTGCACCGACTTCTTGGTCTCCAGCTTGTCGGCCCGGCTGCTGAGCTGCAGATGCGAGGACAGCCAGGGGGCACCCAGCGGCGGCACATCGTCGGCCAGGCCCTCGCCCCAGACAGGGTACCTGTGCGACTTGTGGACCTTGGCGATGGCCTTGAGAACCAGCTGCACGCTCTTCTCGTCCGCCAAGAGCACCACAGCCGTACTGCTGCTCGCGTGCAGCTTCCGGGTCCAGATATCTGGTAGCTGCGCTTCCTCTTCCTCCCGCCGCCTCCCCTCGTCCTCTACATCCCCCCTCTTCCTCTTCCTGGCGAGACTGTTGATGGTCATGGCGCGCGCCGGGTCCAGGACCGCTGCTGTCGACGATGCCTTTCCCTCGAAGTCAACGGTCTCGAAGCGGCCGGCGCCGACTAGACTGGCAAACACTGCGCGAAAGTGCGGTTCCGTGCTGTCGGCGGGGACGTTCTTCAGGAACAGACTTCGGCTGTCGTTCGCCGTGGGTATCTTGGGAGCGTTCCGTCGCACGCGAATCTCGTGGACTGCTGTGACGGGGAAGGATGGCAGTGGCGGGAGCTGCACCGGGAGGATGACGAACTCTTCGCCGTTCTTTTCTCGGGTCGCCATTCTGTGATGTAGTGTTCACGAGTGCGCACAACTTCTCGTGCAATACTACGTGAAGGGGGGAGGGGGTATGGAAATGTCGAAAGTAAGAGATTGGCAATTAGGAGAGGACGAGGAGAGCGAAGAATTAGGAAGAAAAAAAAAAAAAGTTGTTACCGGCAGTCGTTGCTGGCGAATCGGCCTTATCGATAGGAAGAAATTGGTGGTGCATGGAGCTTAGCACTGCGACACGTTGCCTAGACCTTGTACTCTACATTCACAGCAATACGTGCACAGGAAGAGGACCAGGACATCTTACCACAAGAAGCTGTCTATCTGTGGTAAGATAAGGACCTATACAAATGTCTCCTGTTTTCGGGTGTTCCTCAATCAGCTTCTGACTTCATTTTATAGGGCTCATGGCTCCATAGCCGGGAGCTTATTCTCTTGCTGTCTTATCTTCGATCCTTTCTCCTCTTGAATATACGCATCATACATTATGTGGATTGACAGACATCGTAAACACGACTACTAGGACGCGGTGTAGTGCTACGATATACCTAGAATATACAGGCACTCTATGAGACGGATGTTCAATTCTCCAAGCACTAGACAGTCTACCAGAAAGAATGCATATCACCGGCACTTCTCTAACACTAGTTCGTAGGGTAATCAGGGAGGGAATAAGGGCGTGTACCGTCCGGCGTCCTCATGTAAGGAGGCACACGCAAAAAAGGGGATATTTTCGGTTTGGATGTCCCCCTAGTCACATCCTGTCTTGTTGAATCCTCGGCCTACGCCTTCTGGAACAGTACTCCGTTATCATCTCACCCTCGGCCACACATTGTAGACGCCGGGGACGGCATCAACGGTTCGTCTTACTACACACGCGACGGAAGACGTAGGAGCCCCGGCGGGGGTCTTTTATATTTTCTCTTGTTCTTGTATAACGAATGTCGCATTGGCAGTTGACCTCCGGAGCCTCCTCGCCCATTATGATGTTGGCCACCGCATGCATCCCTTGACCAATTCGATCCAGTAGCCCGGGCGACAAGGCCGCCTGCCATTTGCACATTGCCAGAATCCCTTCTGAGGCTGTGACATCAGCAAGGAAAAACGAGACTCCCCCCCCCCCCCAAAAAAAAAAAAAGTAAGTGGGTGGGTGTAAGGGGTGTTGGCCAGAGAGTCGTCAGATGCTGCGGGGACCATACCCATCTCAGCCTCCCAGCTGGACGTAGTTTCCTATCACGCAGAGATGGTCAGTGTCGCAATCTTCATGATCCGACGAGATCGAGATGTCTCACCTGGGAACTGTCCTTGCTTCCCACGCAGCTTCCCCGTCCACCACTCATTGTCGTTGTTCGTCCTCGCCACGATCTCAATGACGTCACCCACACTGAAGCTCAGGTCGCCGTCTGCCTGGGCCGCGAAATCGTACAGGGCGGTAACCGTCTCGGGTGCTGGCTGGTTGCTTAAGCGCATGGGCTTGGGCTTCGGTGGCGGCGGCTTGGGCTTGGGCTTTGATGCGGCAATAGCCGACAGGTTGTTGTGGGCACCGACGGTGTAGGGCGGCGGAGGGCTGGAATGCCCCTCCTCTCCGCTGGCTGTGCTCGGGTGTAGTTGGCTAAACTTGGACGGGGGCTTCTCTGCCGCGCCACCTGCGGCTCCCGTGAGGAGGCCCTGCGGCTTGGTACCTTCGAGGGCCGGCTTGCTGCCGTACTTGATGGGGCGTCGTTGGCCTGTTGTCCGGAAGCGTACGATGGACAGCTGCTCTGTCTGCTCCTGGATATCACCGCGCTTCTCGACCCACGCGTCCTCAATCTCGAGAGTCAGGTTGAAGTAGCCGATATCGCAGCGTTGCATGCGCTCGTGCAGCGTGTAGAAGATGTTGAGCTGCATGTAGTAGAATGACTGAAAGAGGGGCTGGATGAACTCGCGCTCCAGATGGAACAGCTTGGGAAGCTCATCCTTCAGGAGGTCGTTGAAGTAGTTGAAGTCCTGGGTCGCCTGCTCGACTTCGCCTTCGAGCTTCCACATGGCCTTCTCATCCTTTGCGGTGCGCTCGGGTTTATCCTGCAGCTTCTTGAGTGCGGTGCGGTGCCGGTCGTAGTCGAGCCTCTTGTGTTCGCGCTTGACCACCGTCTTGCGGATCACCTTGATCACGTCCAACAGCTCGTTGGCGGGGCGAATCACCCTGGTATCAACCATCTCCAGCTCGGGTGCCAATGTCTCCTGCAGCTCCTTGACGATGGACTCGTACTCCTCGCAGGCTTCGATGCCCTCGGGATTGCCCTCAATCTTCATCGACTCCGGATCCGACATGCGCCCGGAAATGGGCTTGTAAATCTCGGTCATGGCTTGGCTAAATCCGATCTGGTGCGAGAGCATGCCATTGATGGCCTCGAAGTATTTTTGGGACTCGTCGTGCAGCTTCTTGGTTTCTGTCTCAAGCTCCTGAAATCGGCGTTCGGCATCGATGTATACGGCATCTTTGGTGTGCTCTCCGATATTGAACCTGGACTTGAACTGCTGGGGCGCCTGTTTTGTTGTCCGTGGTCAGCATCGTCGTCGCCGTGGCATGCACTCCGGCCGCTCGGATGATGGCGGCCATGGCGATCCTGGCGGGGGACCCAGGTGAGGGGCACAGAGCAGCTAGCATGGAGGACTTACCCGCGTCAGGCCCTTCTGGAAACCCTTGAAGCTCATGATGACCGAGCACGAACGCGAAAAGTCTGTAGAGAGACAGAGCAGATGTTTCCAGTGCACTGAGTGGTGCACGGAGGGAAGAGAAGTAAAGATCGCAAGCAAGAGGGTGGGTGCCTGAGTTCAATGAGCCCGTGGACTTGTGTCGAATCTCTGGGTAAGAGGTGGCTGTGCTCTTGGGCTCATAAATATGTGTGGCGCAATCATCAGCCGTACGCATCTGGTGTAGGGCGCCAAGATCTTCGGCTTTTTTGGTTGTCTTGGAATCATGGTTCTGAGTACAGATTACACCACCCCGTCTAGCACTACCGATAATGAAGCCAAAGGTTCCGGTAAGACAAGAGAAATGACTGACCAACGGCAAACTTGCGACACGGATTCTATGTAGGAGCGGTGTTATAGCAGAAGTACAGCGGTTAGGTGGTATTGTCCATCCGCCACCGTCTCCCTGTACTCGTACTTGGACTATCCGCCACCATCCCATGTCTGAACTTGACGAAACTACAGAGTAGCTGCTCCGGGATGATCGATTCATCAGTGGCGTCGCCGCAGGCAATAGCCCGAACCACCCACACTGCAGGAATCATTGCAGGCAAAACTGTAATGCTGCAGCTGGAGTAGACGGATGACCTCGCTGAATTCCTGTGGCTCTGACCAATTATATCCGCTGTATGCGATTTTCAGTGGATCTTATGGCCGAGTAACCCGAGCCGAGAGAGTGGATGACTAACAATATTCTATTGCCCCCCCCCCCCCCCCTTAATATGATCCATCCTGGTCAACAGCCAAAAACTTCCTCTCCGCACAGTTTGCGTCCCTGGGCCACAACACGAACCCCAAACCAAACCAATACCATCGCACCGTCGCGTTTGCATCGCTTAACCTGTGCTACTTCCACCGTTCTGCCGAGAAGAAGCCATGGCTAGCATCGCATCATCTGCACTGCGGGCGTCGACCCGCCTCACAGCTGGATCGGCCGCTGCGACCGCGGCCAAAACAGCTTCTCGCTCTCTACCCAGGGCCGCAGCCGCCACTGCCGCATCGAGGAGAACTTCGGGGCGGACCTATGTGTCTGAGTCCAAGCCCGACAACGCTCGTGTCGAGACGGCTATCAAGCTGGACAAGAAGGACTTCACAGATATCCCCCCCCCGGGTGCCGACACGCCAAAGGATGCCAAGGTCAGCCCCATGGCCGGTAAGTCATGATATGCCCGCCCCCTTTGCTGCCTGTCTCCGAATGAAATTAACGGTGCGTGTTAAAGAGGTCCTCAAGTCGGCCGCCGTCATGGAGGAGGGCCAACGCCCAATCTACCTGGACATGCAGGCCACAACACCCTTGGACCCTCGGGTCCTCGACGCCATGATCCCCTTTTACGTCGGCGTTTACGGCAATCCCCATTCGCGGACGCACGCCTATGGCTGGGAGAGTGAAAAGGCCGTTGAGGAGGCACGAGAGCATGTGGCGAGTCTCATTGGAGCCGATCCTAAGGAGATTATCTTCACCAGCGGCGCCACCGAGAGCAACAACATGAGCATCAAGGGCGTAGCCCGCTTCTTCGGCCGATCAGGAAAGAAGAACCACATCATCACCACACAGACAGAGCACAAGTGCGTCCTGGACAGCTGCCGGCATCTGCAGGACGAAGGTTTCGAGGTCACGTACCTGCCCGTTCAACACAACGGCTTGATCAGGATGGAGGACCTGGAGGCCGCCATTCGTCCTGAGACTGCTCTGGTTAGCGTCATGGCTGTCAACAATGAGATCGGCGTCATTCAGCCTATCGAGGCTATCGGCAAGCTTTGCCGATCAAGGAAGATCTTCTTCCACACAGATGCGGCTCAAGCCGTCGGCAAGATTCCCCTGGATGTCAACGCCATGAACATTGACTTGATGTCTATCTCGTCACACAAGATCTACGGTCCCAAGGGAATGGGCGCCTGCTACGTCCGGAGAAGGCCCAGAGTTCGTCTGGACCCCATCATCACCGGTGGTGGACAGGAGAGAGGTCTTCGTAGTGGAACCCTCGCACCGGCCCTGGCTGCTGGCTTTGGCGAGGCTTGTCGTCTTGCAAAGCAGGAAATGGCGGTAAGTCTGACTACATCTTTGCTCTTCTCTGTTTTTCCCTCGCGGTATCCTATCGCATGATGATACTCTCACACATGCATGGCTTTCAGAATGCCCGTGACAAGGCGTTTCCTGTTGATTGAGATTTTCCTGATTGATCCACTTTCTCTCCACCTTTATGCTTCAGCCCAGGTTTTCCACGAGACCACGTTACTGACATGGCAATCCAGTACGATACTAAGCGCATCAAGTCGCTCTCAGACCGTCTTCTGAAAGGGCTTCTGTCCATGGAACACACGTCGCAGAATGGTGACCCCAACAGTTTCTACGCTGGCTGCGTCAATGTCTCGTTTGCCTATGTCGAGGGAGAATCTCTTCTCATGGCACTGAAGGACATCGCCCTGTCGTCTGGCAGCGCGTGCACATCTGCGTCGTTGGAGCCAAGCTACGTCCTCCGTGCGCTGGGTAACAGTGACGAGAGTGCTCACAGCAGTATTCGCTTCGGAATCGGCCGATTCACAACCGAGGACGAGATCGACTACGTGCTGAAGGCTGTGCAGGAGCGCGTCACCTTCCTCCGTGAGCTGAGTCCTCTCTGGGAGCTTGTCCAGGAGGGCATCGACCTCGACAGTATCCAGTGGAGCCAGCACTGAGCACTGAGCACTGAGCTGCTGATACTTGGCATTGACGGGATGCTCGCTGATTTCGGGTGGCCGGTCGCTATTGTAATATAATATGGCTTCTGTACCATTACTATGACTTTGATTCATTTCATTCTTTTGAACACTAGGGTTCACCGCAGGCAATGGGGAGTATGAGGTGGGGATACATTATCGAACATATTTAACGCTCGCTTCTCCTTATGAGGAAGAAAGATGCCATTGATCATCATATCTCTTGATGCTGCAAAATGCCAGGTGGCTACATCGTGAAATCTAGGATCACCAAGGAATTGCTGCGGGTAGGCCTCCCAAGCGGCTCTCGAGACGCGTGGCTCCTATCCAGGAACACGTTAACGATGGTGATTAGAGGTGACGAGGTGCCCGTTGCTTATCGTTATACCGCATACATTGTTCTACGAGAATGATGGGCTATTTTCTGTGGGCATGTTGGTCATATCGACCCTTGGTGACGTTTTGAATGGAAAGAAGCAGCTGGAAGGGGGAGGGGGGGCGGGTTTGAGGAGTTGTTGAAAGCTAGACGTGGCGAAGCACATGCTGTGGCGACAATAAAAAAGAAGGTTTCAACCACGTCATTGCCAAGGTAGCCATACCTTCGTTCCTCGCAGGGTGGTCCCTGTTTGGTGTTCGATATTGTTAGATAATAGCGTGCGCTACCAGCAAGTTCCATAACCCCTCAACTGTTGACGTCACAGGTTCTTGTATGCAATCCCCACCAAATACACCGTCACCTCTTTCTGACATCTTCTCAGATTCATATGCCAAACAAAGGGAGTCTTGACAATTAGAGAAAACCGGGAACCGTGTTTGCTGAGGATGTTCTTCCATTTTGCATGACATCAGTGGTCACCTGTGAAATTGTTCGTTCGGCACGGGTGCGGCCGTGGCTGTCGGGATAGTTGGATCGTAGATAGTGACCGGGAAGGCCCGTGGGCATCACGACTTCCATGACGAATATGGATAAGGAATCAAGTATATATTCCAGCTGCTGTCCCTACTCTCTCAGCACCCGTCTTCTTCCCAAGCACAATCCTCCAAACCTCATCTCAGTCACCCGTGAATCTTCAAAAACTTGCCAGGTTCTGAACTTGTGTGCAAACTCGAACAAACGTCATCATGTCTGCCAACGACCAGCCTTCGACTCTCCAGTCCTACACCGACGCCGCCATTAGCAAGGTGCAGAGTGGTCTCAGTGCAATAACTGGAAACAGTGCCGACCAAGAAAAGAGCGATATCCGCGAGGAGAAGGCCCAGGAAGAACACGATGCTTCCCACGCCGCGGTCAAGGTCCCCGGTGGCGCCGTCTCGAGCTCTGGTGCCGCTGTCAAGGATGACTCGAACCGTTCCCAGGGCTCCTGGAACCAGACTATAGGCTCGGCAAAGGAGACCGTTGGCGGTCTCGTCGGAAACGAGGTACGTCCTTATCCACCCCCTTTCCAGGTTATGCCAACCCTCTTTTAATCATGACAGGCTAACGATGGTACGTGAGAGCAGTCCTTGAAACAGTCTGGTCGACAGCAGAACCTCGAGGGTCAGGAACAAGAGGCCAAGGGCCAACTCAATGACTTTAGCTCTGGCATAGCCAACCGCGCCCAGGGAACCATCGGTGGCGCCATTGCTGGCGTCACTGGCGACAAGAAGGGCGAGGAGCACTACGACAAGATGCGCGCTGAGGGCAAGACTCAGCAGCGCGGCGCCGAGCACGACATTCGGAAGCAGTCTGAAGCTCGGGAAGAGAAGAAGGACTGAGGCCATCACTGATTATGCGATACGAAGCTCTATATCATGATACCCCCATGAGCCCATGCTGGTATTCCTTTGCTTTTGCTTCGCTTGTATGCTAGTATACGTCACAAATTGAACGCAATCCTTGAGATAATTGCTCTTGATTTCCTAAGCGCGTATCGAATGTGCTGTAGATGGCATCGAATCTGCCTCTCCTCTCCAGCTGTAGTTTCGGCCTATGCAGAACAGTCATTTGCCTTGGGCTCTACTCCGTTCATCAGTTTCGACGGGTTAAATCTCTTGATGTTGGCCCTTCTAAAGTTCTACTTTGCTGCCTTGATTCAACTCTACCATGTGATCTACAGGAAATGCTTCCAACGAAGATAGTAGCTAGTGCAATTGATACGAATATTGAGCAAAAAACGATGGTGGCGCGATATTTTGCCCCCCCCCCCCCCGACTCGCCATCTCCACGAGTTTGACAGCAAAATATATAGCTCTTTCTCGGCAGAGGGCTGTCTTGATGCCAACGGTAAGCCTGCTATACATACGCTTCCTGGACTTGCCGATCATCGTCCTTTTCTTGGTCACTGGATACATCTGAATCGGTGCTGGCCGCCCCATCCTTCTCTCCGGCCACGGGCATCTTAGTGACCCACACGAGGACGACGACGACTAGGGCAAGACAGGTGCCGAACAGCAATGGCAGGCCGAGCCACGAGTGCAGACCGACGTCGAAGAGTGCGCCCATGGAGAGCTGGCAGACGACAAAGGCGATGATCTCGCCCAAGGCAACGATGCCGAACAGGGTGCCAACGACGTTTCCGCCGTCCTCGTCGGCCGCACCGTCGGTACCAGCACTGACGCTGACGCTGGCACCGACGCCGGCACCGGGACTGCAACTACCGCTGCTGCCTGCACCGCCCTCGCCGACGACGGGTGCCGGCCTTGCCTCGGCGTCGAGGCAGGACACCAGCAGGGAGCGTGCGATCATGGGCGTCCCCGCAGCTAGGGAGACGAGGACCGTACCGACGATGAGGGCGGCCGACGACCTGATCATCATGAGGGCGAAGGAGCCGAACAGGAACAGCAGCGACGTGGCGCGGACCACGACGAGGTCTGTCGGGATGGAGTCCGGAGCCGGCGGCTTGAGGCGGTCGAGGATGCGGAAGGCGAGCGGAGACAGGATGAGCAGGGTGGCGAGGATGACGAGGCTGCACAGGGCCAGGAGGAGCGACGATCGGGCCAGTGTCCAGGAGAAGAGGATGGGCATGAGGCGCACGAGTATGTCGGACTGGCCGGTCGCCACGGGGACGGTGAGGATGGCGGCCGGGAGCAGGAGCATGGCCGGACGACAGGATACGAGTCTGCGGCAGAAATTCCTCTTGCGCCCTCCTCTGTTCCCGGCCGCAGCCGCCGCCGCCGCCGTCGTCGTCGTCGTGGATGTTGCCGCCACGCTGGCCGTCCGGTCAGAGCAAGGGAGGGTCTCTGGCGTGAAGAGTGCCAGCATGAGCCATCCTGCTATCAGGAGGCCGAGGGATACCCAGAGGACCTTCCACATGGCTGCAGGTTGCATGAAGCGGCCGGCTATGACGGGGCCGAGGGCCCGGGCGGCCATGACGGCGGCCATGACGCACTGGAACCAGATTGCCCTGATGGGAGAGTCAAGAACAAGGATTAATTTTCTTCTCCTTCTTCCTCTTCTTCTTCTCTTCTTCTTCTTCTTTTTCCTTTTCTTCTGGGAAAAGGAGGAAGGAGGGTCCGTCTTACCGTTGAACAAGGGGTGCAGTGTCAGTTATGAGGGCAAAGGTGACGGCCTCGGAGACGCTGCGGCCGCCCCCGACGAGGAGGAATGCGCCCACTCCCCATATGGCGCGGAGGGGAACGACGTCGGATCGCCAGAGGATGCAGAGGGTATATAATTGCGAGAGGATGATGCCAAATATCGAGATTATCAGGATAGGGACTCGGCCTGTTCGATCGGCTAGCATGCCTAGGGGAAGGGCAACCAGGGCGCCTTTTGTATCACATGGTCAGTTTCTCTTTTGGAGTTTTTTTTTTTACTCTTTCCTCATCGTTCTCCTTTTGATGAAGCAGTTGGCAAAGAGTCCTTTTTCTATATATAGAGAGAGAGAAAAGAGGAAAGAAATATAGGAGGAACTCACCCCCAATGGTATTGGACACCATGATTCCCGCATTGACAATGTTGAGTTCTCGCTGGACAGGAGGCACGAGACACTCGTCCTCGTCGAGAGGGAGGAGGGGAGCCTTGAGACCCAGGTGGTCTCGGCAGATGATGTCCTGCATGATCTGGAGGGTGGGGAGGTCGCTGAGGGAGAGGCCGAGATGTACAACTAGGAGACCGACGCAGAGGAATGGGAGGAGGAGCCTCCTGTCCAGGCAAGGGCGTGATAGTCTCACTGTCGAGCATGAGATGGACAACATCCTCTCCTTCTCTTTCCCTCTTGGTTCCTTTTTTTTCAAAATAAAAATAGAAATCAGGAAGAAAAAACTCCTTTTTACAATCAAGTCTCTTCCTCCCACCTCTCCAAGAATAAAATGCTTCTTCTTTCATAAAATCACAAAAGTTATAACCCACAGAAGAAGGGGTAGGGAGGGGGAGAGTACGTTTTGGAAAGGGTCAAAGGTCGTTCCATCGTGAAGTAATGTGAATAGGAGGGGTGCCCCTCCGTCGACAATGGCGACTGGCCGCGCGCCAACGCAAGAAGATTTTTGAAAGTGATTCATGTCACTTCTTTCTTCTTTCTCTTCTCGCGTTGTGCCTCCGTTGGACTTTCCTGTCCGACTTGTCGTTGCCCATTCGAAGATGATGGATACATCTCCTTTGCCACGCGGTGTCTTCTTGTGTGAGCCCAGCCGATGGGGGGAGGAGGGGGGGTGGTTCTGGGCAGACTAGAAGACGGGTATCTTGTTATTCTCTCTCTTCTGAACGGGCCTCCGTATACTTACTAGGTTCTGTTTCTCCTTCCTTTTCTGTACTCTTCCACCCTCTCTCTCTCTCTCTCTCTCTCTCTCTCCCTCCCTCCCCTCTTCTGACAGAAATCTTCTTCTCATGGACATGCTGGATGACCAGAGGAGGTGAAGGTAGCCTCGCTCAGATGATAGATGATATTGAATAGTTGCGGACGTGTGCGTACATGTTCGACTCAATCCCGGACTCCGGCTCAAGTCTATGCCAGACGTTGGAAGCGTCCGACTTTTTTGGCGCAGAGCAGTGACGGGGAGGACATTGTCCACCAATCTGTGTGTGGTTGGGAAGATCTGGTTCCTTTCCCTCCCGGTGGATGTCTTGAAACAGACCCATGTTACCGGCTGTCTCTCTTCTTCTTTTTCTCTTTCTTCGCCGATGCTCTATGGCATCTCTCATCTGGTTTTCCAGATTCTGAATATTCTTGATTGACCTGACGACGAACGGCGAACAGCGGACGGCGAGCGAGAATGTCTGTTTCGGACACTTGGCTTCCCGAGACTGTGCATTCAGGATGGAACAGCTATATGTATGTCTGTATATATATATATATATATATACATATATATATATACACTATATATTCTATAGATGGCTAGTCTAGGTGACATTGGATCAGCGACATCGCCGCTCGATGACGACCAAATTTTTGTATGATATACAGCTTGTATGATATTGAAGATGCGATTTTTCGAATGATTGAACATGGCAAGAACATACGGCTGGACCGTCCACACATACACACACACACACACACACACATACATACACATACATACACACGCATAGAGAGAAGGCCAACCTCTTCATAAACGGCTGGACCGTTCCGACAACATGTGTCTGGGTCAGCATGTGCAGTGCGCCACGTGCGGACGCATCAGCATCCACTCGACGTGGCTCTGCATGGCGGCTACGGTGGCCGGGTTCTGCAACGACAAGATGGTCTCGGGCGTCATCAAGGAGATGTGTCTTGGCTGTCGTCTCGGCAGCAGACAAGTTCTCAGGTTTGCAGCCTGACCTCCAATGTCGAGCTGGAGACTTTTTCTTCTTCTCTTCTTCTCTAAGAGAAGAAGGCGGGAAAGAATTGCCAAGCTGGAGAGGACAGTCGTATCAGGCACGGAGTATGGATGTCGGGAGAAGAAACGTTCTCGTATCTCGGATATTGTTCTGGATGGATATTCCTGACCAGTTTGGTCGAATATGATGGATGATATTGATGGTAAATGGTGATGGTACCCTGTAACCTGTAATCTGTCATCTGTAGATGTAACACTCTCCGAGGTCCTTGGCAGATGGGAAGGATTCAATGTGGGAACGCAGCGAGACGGTGAGGACGGCTGCAGAGGGCAAACGGCACCGGCAGAGTCCCCTTCATCTTGGGTCATGACTGCGTATCGCTTCTGATCTGTATACGGATTGCAGCACGTGCTGGTAGCGCATGTGATTGATCCTCTCCTCTCACGTCAACTGGGACATCAGGTGCCAGCGGGGACGTCGGGTTTTTGATCTCATCCGACGCGTACGGGTATTGATCAATACGTGCGTGATACTTACCCGTACCGATCCGTACAGTGAACAGTCACAGGCAGCGTCTCATCGTATAGCCGTATACTCGTACACGTTGACGTGCATGGTATGGCTCCGTATATCAGGACACATTCGTGATTCTGTATAGAGCTGGCAGGTCTGAGCGTGGATATACATGTCTCTCATCCGGGAGATTACTGATACTTGACACGATGGATGATGCATCGGTACAATTTGTTGCGGTCCATTAGTTTTTACATGTAGTTCTTACTATATACATTATACATGTATATATGTGTGTGTGTGTGTGAGTGTGTGTGTGTGTGTGAGTGTACGCGGGAACGCGGGACTCAACCAGACGCCAGAGGACTGATCATGTCAACTACTGGGGATTGTTCGCATACAGTATACGAGCATGACTCGTACTATCCGTACCGGGACCAGACTGCGACGTAATACTCCGTACAGACTGTTAGCAATAACAGTAATACCGGGCTAGCAATTTGCAGTAAATGGATGGGCCTGATGGAAATGGGCGTCTGACTTAGCGGCGCACGGTCCTCAATCCTCGCTCTCTCCTCAGCCATCCATCCCACCGATCATCCATTCATTCTACCATGATACCACGAGTAAATTTTTGATTTTTGATTTTTTTTTCTTTTTCTTTTTCTTTTCAGCACTGCTCTGCGTTCCCATGCAACGCTCTCCATGCCGTATCACCTCCGTGGCTGTCACTCTGCATGTAGAGAAGAGAAAAGAAAAGATGATGAAACAGATCAAAACAACCCAAAATTGAGAGGGTCCGAGCATCGTCCGGCGCCCTCGATACTCTCTCTACCTCAATCTGCAGCTGTGCGCACCGAGGTCAAATCATTGGGTATCGATCTGTACTCCCGCATCCCTCAGAGTTAAAGAGGACCATTGCTAATCTCGCAGAGGCTCGTCACGATGCATGATCCACGTTGTAGGCGGGAACGGCATGCTCCCCCCCCCCCCCCCCCCCCCCCCCCCCCCCCCCCCCCCCCCCCCCCCCCCCCCCCCCTTGGGGGGGGGGGGCCGCCCCCCCCCCCCCCCCCCCCCCCCCCCTGAAATGAACGGTTGTGTTCTGCTAGTTTTGCTCGTGCATACTCATACTCGTACCATGTATGTAGCGTGTATGACCATGCGTGACCATGTACGTGCGTGGTTTGACAGGAGAGGAGTACGGAGTGATGATACTCCGTATAATGTGCCTATACTACTAATATTGAATATTGAATGGGTCTCAGTGTCAGTCCTAGTTCGAACTAGCAGACGACCTGACTTACCGGTCCGCGTTAATCCCTTTCTTTTTTTTTCTTTTTTTTCCTGTCCCTCCCCCTAGCGGCAGAGCCATGTGGTCGATGCGTTCGGGGAACAGACGAGTTACGGTATGTCTCGAAAGCTGACTCTCTTTTCCCTCCGTTCCCGGGAGAAGGGGGGTGGGGAGGGGGTTGTTCAGCGATATGCTTGTCTGACGTCGTCGATTGACAAAGCTGGTGGTGACTCGTCTCGTGGTGTCTGTGTTCTCATCAGAGACAAATCGCCGCTCGTGGCCATCAACCAACCCTCCTAACCCCCCCCCCCCTTTTCGCCTCTCTCCCCTCCCTACCTCCCTACCGCTCCATACACTCTCTGACGCAAGGCGAGTAGGGCAATACCCCGTTGCACGATTGTGTGTGTGTGTGTGTGTGTGCCTGTACGGAGTACGAGTAATTGCGACGTCGGGAACCTCACGACAGAGACTGCCGGGTAACGGCGTAATTGCCGACCCATCTCTTGCTCTCCTCGTCACCCTGACGTTTCTTACCTCCAGAGAGAGGAGATGAAGAGTGGGGGCCGTTGAGACTGAAGCCGACAAGGATCTCATCCAAGGGGAGGGGAAAGGGGGTCGGAGGGTGAGATTCGACGTCTATCACTCGCAGGTTATCATAGGCCGAAGAAAAGGAAGAAGAAAAGAAAGAGAAGAAAAGCTTCCAGTGTACAGGCATCATCATCATCGTCATCGTCATTATTCTTGAAATGCAACTGCAGCAGTGAATCGATAATAGGAATGGGGGCAGAGAGTAACAAGGCAAGAACAGAGCTGACATGATGGGTAACCCTCCGTCAAGGCCACGCATCCCACGGGCTCCACCGTCTACTGCAGGTGGCAGGTGGGAAACCCACTTAATGGGTATCATGCAGGGTGGTCTATAACGGTTGCATCTCTCTGCTCGCCACACATACATGATACCCGTATACGTACAGATTACATGTACGGAGTACTACGTACCATGCCCACTGCACGAACACAAGAGGGCGTCACCGGTTGCTGACCAGGGGACCTGAGCAGGGGGGGGACCTGAGCAGGGCAAGAGAGGAGAGAGGAAGGAGGACGGAGGAAGGAGGAAGGAGGAAGGGGAAGGGGGGGGGGGAGCTCGTATGGAGCGCCCGTCAAATCGAGCCAGTCAGTCAGTCAGTCAGTCAGTCAGTCAGTCACCTTCATCTTTTTTTCTTGGACCGTATGAGTAGGGGACTGACTCCCCCCCCCCCCCCCCCCCGTAAGAGTAACGGAAAGCCATGCGAAGGTCTGTTTCGCCTTTTTTTTCTTTCTTTCCTGGAACAAGGGTCATATGACGTATCATGTTTCGCCGTTCGGTGGGGGTGGGGGTGGTCCGTACCGTAATACTCACTACAAGATTACCACTCGCAGGTCTCTGAGTGAAGAGGACAAGTCTCGCGGCTCCCAAGGGGTGCCGAGGGGGTGAAGGAGGTTCCAAGTCTCCCAGACAGAGAGAGAGAGAGAGTCCGTCCTCTCAGATGTCGTGAGAGTTGCCACATCTGATGCATGCTGCAAGGGAGGGGAGGGGAGGACACGCAGAGAGACAGCATGTAACACGATGTCGGCTCTCCCCAAACAGCCCAGACGAGAATCTACCAAACCCCCATGTGGTCTGGAGCAGAAAGAAAGAAAGGAAGAAAAGAAAAGAGACGGCTAGTCTTACTGGTAAGGGAGCATCACATCATCGACCCGTGATGGCTGATTCGCTGGTCTGCTCGCGGGGCGCAGGCCGCCTGCACCCTGCATCCTGTGCGTGGTCGTGGTGGTGATCCACAGCATTCAATATCAATCTCGGGGGGGGCTAGACGCTAGACTTGGAAAGTCTTGGGACGGCATCGCATCGCTCCCTCCGTGATACATGTACCCGAGCACATCTGTGCATATACATATACATGTATATATGTACGTATTACCCATCATCATCGTTACATGCGAATCCATCGTATATGGCTGTGCATGTACGGGGAATATATTACACGTGTAGGTTCGGGTGACCACGATGCACGACGCCTTCCTGTCTGTCGTTCCAGCAGGGGACGGAAGAGGATGGTGGATGGGATTGTCACTGTCACTGTCCCATTCACGGCATGCAAAGGTGCCAGTGGTCAGTCAGGAGAGAGTGGTCGACAGTCAAGTCTCTTGACTCCTTGGGGGGGGGGGGGGAAGCTGGTCACCTTGTCCCGCTGATTACCCATCCAAGGCATGTCGAACGTTGCTCAATCCACTCGTCTCATCCTCTCTACCCCGTAATAGATACTCGTAAGAGAGACCTGTACAGGGCGGCCTAGTAATGGCCCATGATTTTACTGCACGGCGTTTCCCGTTGGAGTTTTTTTTTCTCTTCTCTTCTCTCTTTTTTCCTTCTAATTTTTTTTTGTTGGTTATATATATATATATATACTACACCTACATAGATATATATGTAGGAAAACCCCCTCTCATTCTTCATCGGATTCCTTCAGAGAGGATCATCATAAGATAGAGATCATAAGATAGAGAAGGCTATACGGAGCCTTATAATATCATCTCTCACGGGGAGAGAATCATGTCAGCATAGTCGTCGTATCGGTATCGGCATTCAGAATTCAGGAGAGATAGTGTAGGGTAGGCAGTGCAGAGCAGCCTTACAGGTACAGATTAGTGATGTGCTGGTGGGCACTGCTGCCACGAGGCACGCAGCCTGTCCGTCGCAACCGTCAGCTGTAGCGCGCCCTCTCGCTCTCTCGGGTGGCCACTTCCTCCCGAGCGGCCACCTCGCCACGAAGTAGGAGTGATGGCGCTATGATGTGTAATATGTAATCTGAACAGATTACACTCCGTACAGATTACTCATGTATAGTACCGTCTCTGATGCCGCAGATTACGGTACCCGTACATCTGTTTCTCTACGAGTACAGGCCACGGGTAATGATACTCCGTACCCTTGGTCCGAGTGATGCCCTCATAGTAATACCACATCTGCATGTACAGATTGCTTGTCGTCGTACCGTTGTAATCTGTACATGTAGCAGTGGTAGCAGCAGCAGCAGCAGCAGTGGTCGTAGCAGCAGCAGCAGTAGTTAGTATCGATACCGGGCCTGACTACCACGTACCCTGCCGTCCTGACAGGGGGAGTGGAGCGTGCGTCGAACCCCTGAATGGCTCCACGGACCTTGGGTCCTTCGGATACCCCTTCCCCCCCCCCCCCCCCTCCACAGCCTGGAGCGCAATTCCAATCTCAATCCCAGCAGATCTTCCCGATTTTCCCTGATACCTTCCCCGTTTTGTCAAATGTTACCCACTCTGCTAGCCTGCCTGTGCTCTGTAACCTCCGTACGCCGTTGCTTTTTACCTGCCGGGATTCTTATTACATGTACCTCTCTCTATTTTTGCCCATCCTCTCTGCTCTCTACCATATCTCTGCTCTGCCGTCTCTGCGGTGTTCCCGTCCTGCCCCCCTCATCTCCTCCGTCCCCCATAACCGTACTCGCATCTCCCTCTTCGCTCTCTCCGTCACCCGCCTCCCCGTCAATCATTGCACTCTTCCAGAGAGTGACGAAACGACAGTCATCGAAGAAAGGAAAGAAGCAGGAAGAAGAAAGAAAGGGAAAAAAAACACGCATTCGTCGATAGCGGTCCCGCTGCTACGCACGTCTGCCTGCTCTCTCCCCATCTTCTCCCCCCCCCTCTACACCTACCCTAACCTACCTTACCTGTCCTTCATCATCCATCATATCCTTCTCTTTCTCCTTCCCTCTCCTCTCAGATTCATTCGGTGGCTAGCGCGATGGATAACGACGTCTGATCACGACAATCTCCCTTCGAACTGCGGCTCCTCCATCTCACCTTGTCGCCGTTGCGTACATATAATATATATAGGCAGGTATGTTTCTCTCGTCGCCCCATTGTCTCAGTCACCCCGGCTTTCTCCTCTCAGTCTCATCTTCCCGTGTCTGCGTCGCATTCAACCACCGTCGTCGTCGCGACAGCCAGCCATCGCTGCTGGTGGGTGTCGAGAACCGATCAGAGCCCCCCCCCCCCCGTCTTGTCGTCTGCTACCCATCATGCCATGGAGTCCAGTATCTGGGACGGTGCAGCCGCACAGGCTTCCGTGGTGCAGATATTGTTTCATCATCCCCACGCTCGTGCTGACATGGCCACCGCTTCAGCTCGACAGAATCGCCGACTTTGGCTACGGCCTGCGCTTCTCCTATTGCAAGCCGACGTAATTGCTACGTCTTCGGCTCGACGACCAAAGAGAAGAACCCAATTCACCTCCTTCCTCTAAGCCCCGAAATACCTACGATCGCGTACGGGACGTAACGCGATCCTCACCCGCCGCCTCTCACGCATCATCGACACGAGACAAGACAGGACATGAGCAGACAAGCAGACAATAATCCAATGGCCAGCCCAAACCTAGACCTGTCTGGGCTGCGGTCTCCGCGACCGACCTCGATAGTGTCCCCGCGGCTCAGGTCGAGGTCGAGGACCCAGAGCATCTCCAGTGACCGGCCCTCGACCGTCGGAAACGGCCTGGCGTCGCCGCCTCTATCCGTCTCCCCCCAGCCAGCCTTCATCGCCGCCTCGGCCGCCTCGCAGATCGTCACCAACGACCACGATGCCCACGCCGATTCGTGGTACGACGAGTCCGGGATGCTGCCCGCCGGCGAGACGGCCCTGGTTTCCCAGGAGGCCCTGCAGCTGGTCAACAGCTTCCTCGACCAGCTCCTCTTCAACTTCCTCCAGGTCGCCAAGGCCACGACCCTGGCTGCCCTGCGACCGGCCGTCACCGACGTGTTGAAGCCCAAGTTGGCCAAGGACGCCATCGGCAACGCCGACCAGGAGCTGCGCGAGTACCTGGGCGGCGCCGACGAGGAGGACTTCGTCCAGCCGCACGGTGTCGACCCGTCGCGCGACTGGGACCTCGAGCTCGTTTGGAAGCGCACCAGGCTGAGGTGCATGGTCTACTCCTCCCTCGGAGACATGGAGGAGGAGGAGGAGGACAGCTACATGGAGCAGGAGCACCTCGAGATCGGCGACCACGAGTCCATCACCGACGTCATCTCCCCCGCCGTCGCCATCTTCCTCACCTCGGTCCTCGAGTACATGGGCGAGCTGACTCTCACCGTCGCCGGCCAGGCCGCCTACCTCCGCCTCAGGACCGTCTACGAGAAGGAGCTCAGGGACGGCACCCGCAACCCCTCCGACCTCGCCGACCGGGTCGTCGTCCAGGAGTCCGACATGGAGCGCGTCGCCCTCGACCGCACCCTCGGCAGGCTCTGGAGGGGCTGGAAGAAGCGCATCCGCCCCGTCACCGTCGACATCCACCGCTCCTTCTCCAAGGCCTCCGCCCGCCACATGAGGCACGGCAGCAGCGCCACCGACCTCCTCTCCATGAAGCTGACCGCCAGCGAGGAGGAGGCCGAGGCAGCCGCAGACGCGGCAGCAGACGCAGCAGCAGACGCAGACGCAGCCCAGGCTGCCCAGAGGCCCGAGCCGGAAGCCGCCGACATCCCGCTGCCCACCTCCGCCGACGACGTCGACGAGATCGAGGTCCCCGGCCTGGTCTCCTACAGCGACTGTGGGGGAGACGACTGCTCCGACGGCTCCGGCAGCCTCCCCCCACGTCCCAAGAGCTCCGCCGGGCCCTCTGCGCTGGCGGCCGACGGTGGTCGTCGAGCTAAGCACGAGAGGTCCAGCTCCCTACCCGTCCTCGCCACCCGATTCTCCGCCGTCCAGGATGCCCACCAACCCCCCGGCGGTGGCACACCCGGCGAGGACGGGGAGGAGCGCTCCGAGCAGGCCCCGACGGTGCAGCAGCCCGACGGCCCATCCGTCGCGACGGGGGCCCCTCCCACCCACGCCGAATCGGACCAGGTCGAGATGCCGACCATCACCGAGGTGAGCGAGACCGACGATGCTAAGCGATCGAGCCGTCGCGCTGCCCCCGGACGTATCGACACGTCCGCCGCCGCCGCCGCCGCCGCCGGCTCTTCGACGCACGACTTTGACGGCTCCGACGTCGACGACGCGACGTACGAGCAGGCCGAGGTTGTCAAGTCGCCCAGGGTGTCCGTGGGCGCCAGTCCCCGAGGCAGCTCGGAGGCTCCTCAGAAGGAGGCGCTGACCCCCCGATCCTCGGCTCGCCTCGTTGACGTCCCCGCGCCCCGGAGCCACAGATCCCGATCGTCCTCGACGGAGACGGTCGACGGTCCTCGCAGCAGCTCCACCAGCCAGGCTCGCCCCGCCCCCAGCCCTGTCCGCACTGCCTCGGACGAGTCCGGCAGCTCGAGGGGCGTCGCCTCCGAGACTGCGGGCCGTCCCGCCGCGGCCGCGCCGGCGCCGTTCCAGTTCCCGCTTGACCGCGTCAGACCCTCTCTCCAGATCAAGGACGCCTCCATCTCCGAGTCGGAGGAGGAGCGGAGCGATGACGGCATCTCTGGCGTATCCGCGCCTCGGGTCCGTCCGCCGCCCTCTTCGACTCTGCCCAGGAGCTCCTCGCTGCCCATCAGCCGGACCGCCGCGGCGGGGACGCCCGCCGTCAATGCTTCCCACCCTGCCGGCCACTTCGTCGAGAACATCCCCGAGGTCCCGACCCCCCCCATCCCTGGCCAGCACGCTGCGAGGGCTGGGGCCGGGGCCGCGACCGCAAGGGAGACGGACGACTCGACCCTGTCCCCCGTCCGGTCCAACTCCTCGCAGCGCCTGAAGTACGCGTCGGGCTCGTCGAACTCGTCTGCTAACAGCCGCCACAAGGCCACCAGGACCTCGGCCGAGGAGCAGCAGGGTGCCTCTTCGCGCTCCGAAAACGTCCCCGTGGACTTTGAGGAGCTCATGAAGAGCAACCAGACCATCACCTACACCCTTACCCCCGAAAATATGCGCGACATGGATGTATGTGCCAACCCCCAACCCCCAACCCCCAACCCCTCGCCGGCCGTCCTCGCCTGAAGTGAATCGTGGCTGACGGTTATCCTCCCTAACGCAGTCCCCCCGGTCCAACCACAGCTCCGTCATGACCAAGTCCTCGCGCAGCAAGGGCGACGAGCCCGCCAAGTCGGATGAGAAGGTCCGCTCGCCATCCATACCCCCCGACGCCAGGAGCTCCCGCGCGGCTACGTCGGGCGGCATCCCCAAGTCGTCGTCCGAGCCGTCCAAGGTCTCCGCTCCCGGCAAGACGGCTGGCAGGGCCGGCAAGTCCGCGCCGGTCATCGTGCCTCCGCCCTCGCGTCCGACGAGCGCCACCTCCAGGCCTACCAACTCTCCCAAGCCTCACGTGCAAGCCCCTGCCATCTCGCCCGCCGTGGGTTCCAAGTCGCCACGCGTGCCGGCCGCCATGGCCCGCGAGGCTCGCGTGGACACGGATCGGTCGACGGCCGACTTTGCCGAGTTCATCAAGTCGACCGGCCCCCCGGGAGATACGGTGCCTCCTCCTCCCCGCCGCACCGCCAGCGTCGCCGTGAGCACGTCGCCCCGGTCCAACGTCGGCGCCAGCACCGCCAGCACGCCCAAGGTCGGCGGCGAGCGCCGAACGTCCGCTCCCGCCAAGAACGGCGGCGCAGTCGGAAGTGGCAGCGGCGGTAACAGCCACGGCCGCTACCAAGCTCGCGACGCGGTCGCGGACAGCAAGGGTGGCGACAAGTCCGACCTCATCGACTTCATCCGCCAGGGCCCGCCCGGACCGCCCGGCAGCAGCCAGATCCCGCGTCACGTCGCACCCTTCACCGTGGGCGACCCAGACGTGGCGCCGCGCACGGCCGCCGACGGCGGATCCCTGACGGGTACGCGGAACAGCCGCGCATCCACGAGCGTGACGGAGAACTCTCGGCAGTCGTCCGTCAACTCTCAGTCCGCGCTCGTCAACAAGAGCGGTGGCGCGCCGCAGGGTCTAGGAGTGGGGATGGGCATGCCGACGAGCATCGGCAGGGTGACGATGGGTGGCGGCGGTGACGACGCGGCGATGCCGGAGCGCAAGCAGCGCCGCGTACGCGACCCCTACGCCATCGACCTGAGTGACGAGGACGATGACGTGCCGGACGACCACCTCCCCATGCCGGCCGGCCCCCCAAGACCGCCCGCCAAGGAGGAGAGCCTGGCCGAGTTCCTCCGCAACTACGAGCCCCCGCCGTCGCCCCCGCAGCCGCAGATACCCCCGCCGCAGAAGAATCCGAAGAAGAAGGCCAGCGCACCCAGCCTGATCGGGCGGTTCCGAGGCGGCTTCGGCAGCTCCTCGTCCCACAGGGAGAAGGAGCCCAAGACGGCCAAGACGTCCAGGGCACCCAAGGAATCCAGCAGATTCCCGCCCGCCCCTCCCCCCGTCAGCAAGAACAGCAGCCACGCCGTGCTGGACTACGGCGGCGGCGGCGGCGGCGGCGGCGGCGGCAGACCCCGCGTAGGCAGCGCAGGCCACGTCCCCATCCAGGTCAACATGCCGCCGGGGTACGACCGGTACGGGCCCATCGACGGCAGCAGCTCCGCCAACAACAGCATCAGCACCAAGACGACCATCCCGCCTAGCACCAGGCCGCGCAAGCCGTCGAACGCGGGTGGGCCGGCCGGTCGCCCCGTGCCGATGAAGAGGTTCGAGCCCAGGGACGCCACGCCCATCGTCGGCTCCAGGTCGGGGACGTCCGACCTGGCCGCGTTTCTGAGGGACTCGGCCCCGCCACCCGAAACCGGGTCCCTGGCTGCCCAGAGTGCGGCTAGGGATCCGGTCCAGGGTGGAGAGGAGAGCGGTTTCTCCAAGATGTTTTCGAGGTCTAAGAAGGTGTATTGATGTCGTATATTCTTTACCCCCCCCAACTTGTTGATACCCCCTTGGTACCTTTTTTTATTTCTTTTTCTTCTCTCTTCACCAAGATATACGGTATATACTTTTTTCTATTTTACATTTCTTTTCTTTCTCCTTTTCGAAGAAACAAAAACCCCATCCGGTCCATGAAAGACTTTTTTCTGATAAAAAGCCATCTTGCTATTTCTGACGATTCCCATGTATTACCTTTTTTTTGTTTTAGATATATATATATATATATATATATATATCTTTTGCCGTTTGTCAGCTTGAGTTTCTTCAAATCTTACTCATCTTGTTCGCTCCTGTCTTTACTCTTTTCTCTTTGGTTTCTACCTGTCAACTCTTCTTTCTTGTTATTACTGTACTTTTCTTCTACTTCTTCTTCTTCTATACATCTTTCAAGCCTTGTTTCTTCAAGAGAGAGAGGAGAATGTCTCGGAGGGAGGAATGTTTCTGGATGTAGATTTTTTATAAATTGTTCTCTGTCCTTGTTCTCTCCCTGCTCCCTAGCTTAACTGCCGTGTGTAGAGATGCACCTGCCATCAGGGCGAAGCCGATTGATTTCTTCTCTCACTTGAACCGCTCGAACAGTAAATCTGCAGTATATTCTCACTTCATTACGCGAGTACACAACACAGATTGGAGCGCTCTGACAAACTGACGGACTGATCCTACATCCCTGTATTTGGTTGACCTGACTCCTCTAGGTAGGGTCGCCCAACCCTACCGATATGTATCGTATTATTTCATATTATTCTTATTATTTCTGGAAATATGTAGAAGACATTTTCATGTGACGTGTTTCGGTAATGGAGGCATCAATTCTTGTGTATCGTGTGTCTTGTCTGTGTGTCCTCCGGAGCCCTCGGTTGGGGTACAGGGTACGGGTACTTGGGAAATCCCTGACCCATAGCTAACCTTGTATGGAGGGAGGAGTGCGGTACTGGTACATCTTCTCTCTGGACGTCCTACTTGGTGACATTCCTATGATAACAATGATTTTCTTCAACTCCCCCTGCAGAAATATAATAAACCAACCCCCCCCCCCCCTGCGCGTTTGTATAAATATACCATTTGTCTCTCTCTCTCTCTCTCCTAGAATTCTCACGCTAGAAGCACTTCTTGGAATCAATTCTAGTCCTCTTATGCTACTGTCAAGTTGCTGCTGTTGCTGCTGCTGCTGCTGCTGCTGTTTGGTTGTGGTCTTGTTTGTACGTCACAGTACTATCTCATCTTCATTTCTTTAGAGAATTCTCCTACACTAGAATAGAATATCGCTCCCTACGTTGGCCGACACACACCCCTACTAATATATGGGGTCGGTTGGTGTCAGGAGGTAGGAGGTAGTCAGGTAGGGTCAGTTTTGCCAGAGCATTCGGGAGAGACGGATGGAAGAGAAATGAGACTGACATTGGATCCGACCTATGTTATAATATACAGCTCCCCTCCCCTAAAGTCACATCGGTCGGTTAGCTCAGTTGGTTAGAGCGTCGTACTAATAATGCGAAGGTCATGAGTTCGACCCTCATACTGACCATCTCTTTTTGCTCTTCTTTTCCTCTCAACCTTTCTTTTGGTCCTTAATTTTTTTTGGCTCTTACTATGTTTGTTGTGTGTGCATGTTCACTGGATTTAAATAAAGCTTCAACGCTTTCGACCCTTACCTTGTGCTTATCCAGATTTGAAGCCTCCATGTTAACCTGGTAAATAATTATACGTCTGTACTATCAAATCAGATGCCTGCGATTGCACATGTTCTGGAATACTGTGCGACTTCAGATGAGTATAGATGAAATCTTCATCAATCATACATAGTGTGTGTGAAATGTGCGGATTATGAGCACGCAGGGACAAGAAAAAAAAAAGGTAAGATGGGCATAAAAACGTGACCAAGAGCAAGAAGAAGTGGTCAGTATGAGGGTCGAACTCATGACCTTCGCATTATTAGTACGACGCTCTAACCAACTGAGCTAACCGACCAATTATTGATCAAGCAGGTTCAATATCGGTACTATGTTGGTTCCCACGCAAGGGAGAGTTGGTGAGGAAGATGAAGGATGATGCATGACGGTGTACCGAGTAAGATGGTTGAAGAGTGGAGTGGAGACGGTTGAAGAAGGGTATAGCCATGTCTTGCCGCCCTGCCTCGGACGCGACGGTATATGGCTGCCAAACGAGACCTGGCGAGAGACATAACTCGTGCTTCCGCGGTGAAACTGCCGGGCCATGCATCATTTCACGGTCTTATGGGCGGCTCGGCATGTCCTACTGAGAAGATGGTGGCCGAGGGACGAGAGACGGACATTGGGGAAGCCATTCATCGGTTGAACGAACACAGCCATCGTCTTTAGTATTTACGTGACGGGCGCGTGCTGATGTACCGCACGGGGTAGTACTGCGGTACGAGCGCAGCACAGCAGGAAACGGCGCAGTGATACGACAGTAGTAGTATTGATTTGCTCACGGCACGCTGGCCTTTTTTCTTTTTAAGGTCAACAATACAGTTATGCATACTTTACTACCGTCAGCAGTAAATCAAGTGCGGTAGTGTCACCACCGTTCCATGCTCGGCGGGACGGAACGACGTACATGTGTGGTATGCGGAAAGGCGTCGTCGCGGTATCTGTCTTGGCTCCTCTCGATGCGGTGTATAGTTACAGTAGTACGAGATGCAGTCAGGTAAATGATGTGATGATAGACCATGTGTGTGTGTGTGTGTGTGTGTGTATGTGTCCCGTCTTACGAATTGGTGGTGGTGGTGGAGGGGGGGGGGGGGGGGGGGGGGGGGGCAGCAGACATGTCAGATTACAAGAGATAGTCAGGGCAGGGAAGCTGAAGGGGCATGACTGTCAGGTTGGTCGGGTGGCGTGGAAGACCGAGTATGCAGCATGGAATACGATGGAGGATTGTCAAGCTGTCAGGAGAGGAGGAGACGCCAAGTTCTACGTGACGTCTACGTCCAGCGATGCAATCAGTCTGCTGGAGAGCATTCCGTACGCCGGTATGCAGATAGGCAGGGAGAGTTGTACACGTACAAGCACACGATGGACAGACTCACTAATATAATACATGTCGTCTGTACAGGCTATATGCAGTGATAATGTATCATCACCGCTAAGCAGACTTTGCTACGAGTATATGTTATAATGCTACATAAATATATTACATATAGTACCGCTGCACGCCCTCGGATGGAGAGGGCCTGGAGCTGGGTGAATGGGGCCGGTAGCGTGCTACGAGTACGAGTTGATATCTGTACTGTGAATAAGTCCGTGACGGGACGTGAGTCGTGTAATGTGACTACATTATCATTATCATTATCATTATTATTTTTCAAAATCTCAAACCTTTTTTTTCTGTTCAAATCCTTTTTCTTGCCTAAAGGTATAAAGGTTGCAGAAGCTGACGGGGACGCTGGCGGAACGGCTACTTCATCTTCGTACCGAGTACGGAGTAATACTTGTAGACGCCTTGCGACACTCTGCGATATCTATAGCGTCTTCGTCACCTCTAGCAAGCTACATGTACTGACGGATCGGTATAGGACATGTAGATGTATGTATCACGTATAGATGCTACAGGTAGGGGGGTATTAGCAGGTAGCTCGTATGTGTAATATATATAATATATATATATATATACATATATATATTATATATGGGGACGGAGGAGATGAGAGCCAGCGCCGTTGCATCAGCGAAAGTCCGAAGGGGCACAGTCGCCTGGGAGCTGGAAGCTGGCTACCTGTAGACTGTATCTAGCAGGTGCTGGCTGTACCGGAGTCCTGTAAATCTGTACTGGGGCCACGGGGAGAAGTTCACTGGACAGTCTAAAGTGGGTAGCTTCCCATCTCGAAAAAAAAAAAAAAAGATTAGTCCATCAGGGGGGGTTCATTGGAAAGAAAAAAAAAAGATCAATGCACTTTTTTTTTTCTAACATGTTCCATACATCGGGGGGGAGCCACAGGGGAGCCACAGGGGACCACAGGGCGGGCCAAACTCTCATCCCTTTCCGTCCACCATTATCATTTATGGAGTGCGGAGTATCAACACTGCCTGTATTACGGATACTTGTACGGGCACCTAACCATACAGGGTCATCCATCAGCTGCGGGACACGCCTAGAGTTGTCGCCCGACGATCGTGAGATGTAATACCGGATGAGTGAGATGCAGCGGGAATCTCAGCCGTATCGCATACTCGTAGCCGTGTGATACGTACTCGTCCTGTACATGTACGAGCACTATATCATACCTGTAGGTGCGAGCAGCGGGCAGCTCTGCTGCTAGGTGTACTGGCACTATATGTACTGTCGAGATGGATTCAATCGACGAGGTCGAGGAACCCCTCGATGGGTGAAGACGTTCGGTAGACGCCCCGACTGCTACGGTACTACCTCGAGATGACCGGGAACCCTCTGACCGTGAAAGCCTTGGCCGTGAAAGCCTTGGCCTCGATATCTGAACTCTTCTTGGCGGCCTGGGCCGAGTACCACCATGATCCATACGCAGCGCTGCAGGTATCGCAATAGACGGACAGACAGGCCTGGGAGCTGACCATACGACTCCAAGCTACAGGTACGGATACACACGTACGGAGCACTCGTAATAGTAGTAATAGTACAGGCATATATTGGCATATCCAGTACCCAATACGCCGTGAACACCTTCCACCACCACTCTGCCCTCTACTCCGTAATCGTACCCAACTCGTACGTCGTAACGACAGTCGTAGCCGACCCTCCTTCCTCTCACCTACAGGCGCCATGGAAGGGACAGCTGAACCACCATCAATTGGGCCTGCATATGCTCTCCCTCCCTCCCTCCATCTCTCCTCTCTCTCTCGCCATCCTCCCCTTCGCCCCCCTTCGACCCCCCTCCCCTCTCACACAACGACGACGACACGGGCCTTGCTGCCGAAAAAGTCGGCTCCGAGATCTTGATTGATGAAGGAACATGTCAGGCAGATCGATTAGCCTCATCGTCTTGGCACACACCATCATGGAACTGCTGCTGCTAACCTCATGCCAAAAAAAAAAAGTCTGTAATACCCGACTCTGTATCCTCCTTCTAGCTCTGAACTCGGTCTTGAATCGGGCTCTTCTGCCCTGCCCATCTCAAGGACCCTGCACGGATCGCCCGGTCCCTGGCAAGCCTCCCCAGGTTCCAGACCGTTCTCGGCATACACCCAAAACCTTGACATCCGGCTTCTCATTCGATCCATCCGTCGCCTCCTTTCCTCCCCATACCCTTCCCCCCCCCCCCCCCCCCCCCTCTCTCTCTCTCTCTCTCTCTCTCTCTCTCTCCCTCTCCCCCTCTCTCCTTCTGTGCGCCTCCACCCTCCCATTTGCTGTGCGCTTTTCATTACCCTGCCGGCTGGTGTGTTGCAGTAGCGCTGGACGCTTCTAGTCACTCTTGTCTCGTCCATCCTTGGACTTTCTCTCTCATAGTTCTGGACCAAGCAGATAGTTCCACACCCTAACAACTCCCGCACTTGCTGACCCCGGTCCTCTCTCCTCTCTCCCGTTCCCCGTCTCTCTCAGCTCAGGTTTTTGACATGGGGTAGTTTTGTTTTAATTTTATCTTAAATAATTTTTTTTTTTTTTTTGCAGACGAGGACAGAGAGAAGCTACCTGCCTGTACCTGTACTCTGAGTAGACCTCTCCCACTTTTTGTCCGCCACCTGTCTCCTCCCCCCCCCCCCAAACTTCTCACCAACGAGTTGAACCATCTACGGACTGGACTCACCACTAGACTCATCCTTTCCCCTTAGTGGCCGGGGTCGACGTGCGTCCGGACTGGGTTTGCCCACTTCTAATCCTACGTGTTAGTCTGTGCATTGCCGTCTTTCCTGTGGTTCCTGCTCCAAGACCGATAAACCCAATACCACCACTACCTCTCCGGTCTAACCCACTCCGGGTGGACGGCGAGGAGGGAGGAGAAAGGGACGAGGTCGGCATGCGTTGAGAATATACTTCCCGCCCATCCATCCTTCTTCTGCTTCTTCTTTCCCCAAGACTATCACCACCACAACCACCACCACCAGCACCGCCGACCACGACCGCGACCACGGCACACCCTGATCCTCGAGAGATCCGAAAGCTTCCCATCCTCCCCGCCCCTCCCCATCGTCTGCTGCTTATGCTTCTTCTGGTGCCTTACGCGTGTGCTGTGTGGCGAGAGAGTTGTCCGGCCCGCCCAGCAGAGGCAGCCATGCCTCTCCGGATCCCGGTTCGACCTCCTACACAACCCAGCAGCCTCCGACAATGAGGATCGCCATCCGCGAGCAGCTCGCCCTGCTGGTCCTCTCGACGACCCTCGTCGCCCTCGCCGTCGTCTCCGTCCCGACATGGCTCTACGTCAACAACCACATCGCCGGCAACCTGCGCAGCGGCCTGTCCCTCACGGCCTCGCTCAAGGCCTCGCGCATAACCTCCCTGCTCGAGCTCATCCAGACCAGCTGCTACACCATGGGCTCGCGCCTGCTGATACAGGAGGCCCTCGGCGACTTCTACTCGCTCGGCGAGTCCAACTGGCAGGGCGCCGCCATCGACATCACCAGCGCCCTCAGCGTCGGCGCCACCACCGGCCTCCTCCAGGTCCGCATCTACTCCCGCAACCGGACCGGCAACCCCCTCGGCCTGCTCAACGTCACCGCCGCCAACGTGCCCCACATCGTCCTGCCCTACACGGCCCCCAACGGCTCCCAGGTCACCCTCGGCGACCCGGACTACGGGTACCCCCCCATGCTGTACCCCAACATCACCTACCTCGACCTCGACCGCGGCAACGCCATCCGCCCGGACGTCCCCGCCACCGTCGCCGAGGCCTTCCCCGGCGTCCGGATCTCGCGCAACGGCGGGCTCCTCCTAGGCCCCCTGGCTATCAACGAGACCACCGCCCTCGTGTCCGTCTCGGTCCCCATCAGGGACAATAACGACCGCTTCATCCTCGGCTACATGACCGTCCTCGCCACGGCCTCGCCCATCATCCAGGTCAGGGATTCGCGCGAGGGCATGGGCGAGAGCGGGATGGTGCTCATCGTCGGTCCCACCGAGGCCTCGAACCGGTTCGACGCCAGCCTGCCCCCGAGCAACGAGACCTACACCCCGCCCAGGGACGAGTTCGCCAAGCTCGACGTCCACTTCGTCCTGCCCCCCAACGCCGAGGACGACGAGTCCCTGGGCCGCCACTCGGACCACCTCCTCTCCCGGGGCACGGCCGGCGACCCCTTCCCCGTCGCCGACTACCCGGCCGCCCTGGCCGCCTTCAGCGGCCGGTCCGAGACGGTCAACAACGCGAGCGCCATGCTCCACACCCGCAACGAGCAGGGCGTCAAGGTCTCGGTCGGCTACGCGAGGACCCAGACCCCGCTGGCCAACTGGACCGTCATCGTCGAGAAGTCCAAGAAGGAGGCCTACCAGCCGATATCGACCCTGAGCGACATCCTCCTCGGCACCGTCTTCGGCACCGCCGCCATCCTGGCCCTGCTGGCCCTGCCCTGCGCCCACGTCGGCGTGATGCCCATCCGGAAGCTCAAGGCCGCCACGGAGAAGTCCGTCAGCCCCCCCGGCTACGAGGAGTGCTTCACCGACTCGGACGGCTACTCGTCCGACCTCCCGCCGACGGCGTCGCAGAAGTCCAAGAGGAACATCATCACCACCGTGTCCCACCTCCTGTGGCGCGCCAAGCCGGCCAACGCCACCGCGTCGCACGACACGGCCCGACGCACCTTCAAGATACCCGGCAAGGTCGACGTGCGGAGGCACTGGATCAGGGACGAGCTCACCGAGCTCACCGACACCTTCAACAGCATGAGCGACGAGCTGGTCAAGCAGTACAACTCGCTCGACGACAAGGTGGCCGAGCGGACCAAGCAGCTCAGCGAGAGCAAGAAGGCCGCCGAGGCCGCCAACGAGAGCAAGACGCTCTTCATCGCCAACATCTCCCACGAGCTCAAGACGCCGCTCAACGGCATCCTCGGCCTCTGCGCCGTCTGCATGGAGGAGACGGACATTGCCAAGATCAAGCAGTCGCTCAAGGTCGTCTACGGGTCCGGCGACTTGCTGCTGCACCTGCTCGAGGACCTGCTGAGCTTCTCCAAGAACCAGATCGGCCACCAGGTCATGGTCGAGCCCAGGGTCTTCCGCCTCGCCGACGTGCGCTCGCAGATCCTCGCCATCTTCGACAAGCAGGCCAGGGAGGGTCAGATCGACTTCTCCGTCAGCTTCTCCAGCGCGTGCAGCCTCTTCGAGGGCGACGGCGAGCCCTACCAGTCAACGCCGTCGCCCAACCTGCCCAAGGTGCCCAAGCTCGAGGACGTCGCCCTCTGGGGTGACCAGCACCGCATCCTGCAGGTCATCATCAACCTCGTGGGCAACAGCCTCAAGTTCACCCCCTCGCAGGGCCGGGTCGAGGTCAGCATCAGGTGCGCGGGCGAGGACACGCCGTCCCAGCAGCACGAAGACGTCAGCCGCAGCTCGTCCGTGTCCAAGGGGCACTCCAGGGGCGCCCGCCGCCGCCGCGGCTCGAGCTCGGTGCAGTCGACCGTCTCCGCCGCGGCGGCCGGCGGCCCCGCCGCCAGCGGACCGAGCCTCGGACGCACCGCCCTCGCCATCAACCCCATGGAACCGAAGGCCAGCAGCATGTCGGACGCCGGCGCCGTCCCCGGGTCCAAGACCTTCCTGTTCGAGTTCGTCGTCCGCGACACGGGCCCGGGCATCCCGCAGCACCTGCAGGACAAGGTCTTCGAGCCCTTCGTCCAGGGCGACCCGGGCCTCAGCAAGAAGTTTGGAGGCACGGGGCTCGGCCTCAGCATCTGCCAGCAGCTGGCGAGCCTCATGGGTGGCTCCATCGACCTCGACAGCACCGAGGGCTCCGGCAGCACCTTCACCATGCGCATCCCGCTCCGGTTCGCCAGGGGCAGATGGTCGTCCGTCGACTGCACGGCAGGCGGCGGCGAGAACGCAGCGCCGGAGCCGGGATGGGGGCCCCAGGCCGACGGCGGCGGCAGCAGCACCGGCAGCACCGCCCCGGACCCGGCCGCTTGGGCCGGAGGAGCGGGCACGCCCAGACGTTCGCTGGAGGAGCGGACGCCTTCGAGCTCGCTCAGCTCGCAGCCGCGCCTGGTCGGGCTGCGCCAGCCGTACTTCTCGGTCAACCTGCCGACGGCGACCGGCCCGTCGGAGTCGTCGCCGTCGCCGTCCCTGCCATCGGTGATCAAGAAGGCGGCGGCGGCGGCGGCGCGGGACGGCGACGACGCGCAGACCAGCAAGCTCCGGGTGCTGGTGGCGGACGACAACTCGACCAACGTCGAGGTGGTGCGGCGGATGCTCAAGCTGGAGGACATCAGCGACGTGACCATCGCCAAGGACGGGCAGGAGGCGTATGAGCTGGTCAAGAGCACGATGGAGAGCAACGACCCGTTCGACGTCATCTTCATGGACGTCCAGATGCCCAACGTCGACGGCCTGCAGAGCACGCGGCTGATCCGCGGCATGGGCTTCACGTCGCCCATCGTGGCGCTCACGGCCTTCTCGGAGGAGAGCAACGTGCGCGAGTGCATCAACTCGGGCATGAACGAGTTCCTGTCCAAGCCCATACGGAGGCCCGCGCTCAAGCAGGTGCTGCAGCAGTTTGCCACCATCCCCGAGGAGCCAGAGTCACCGTCGTCACCGACGCTGCCGGCCTCGCGCAAGGTCAGGCCGCTGTCGTTGTCTCCCACCTCTAACCCTCATCCTTCTCCTGCCGCTGCCAACGCTGATGCTGCTGCGGCTGCTGCCGTCTCGTTACATGCTGGTGAAGAGGAGCGTGGAGAGACAGAGTTGCCACCTTCACCTCCGTTTCACGACTCGAGATGAGGATATCCCGACCGACAGCAGTCATTGATCTCACCCCATCTACGCCATCACACTTTATTGCTGTCATCGTACACCTACTCTACATCTCTCTACACCTCCCCCCCCCCCCCTTCCACACACACACACACACACACACACACATATATATATATATATATATATACGGCTCTCTCTCTACATT